CCGGCCCCCCCTGAGTGGCAGCCCCTCCCTGGCCCAACCCGGGGGGTAGCCCCAACCAATCTCGGGGGGGGGGGCGGGGGAGAGGAGCTATCCCAGCTTGGCAGGCAGCTCCCTACCAGCTGCAGGGAGATTGAGACCTGATCTGATCTCCACAGTGCTGAGAGAGCTGTCCTGGTTGCTGGGCAGCTGTTTCCCAGCCACATGGAGATCAGGTCACATCCTGATCTCCATGTGGCTGGAAGGCATCATCCCATTAAGCCAGGACAGCTCACCCTGCCCCCTGTGGCCCCCTGCTGCCTAGGTTGACTGGAAGCAATTTGCATTAGTTTAACGTGCTGATTTCTAGTACATATATTTACAGGTAATCTATTGTGCAGTAATTGCTGCATACATGTAGATGGTGCCACTTTACTGCACGCGAGTTTAGTCTACTGTGTAGTAAAGCATCTTGTGTATTAGACACACCCCATGTATATCGAAGCAGCGGCTTTCTAGTCACCTACCTGGTCATTTTTTACCTTCAGTTTGTGCCTTGGACACATAAGCCTACACATGCAGTAGGGATACAAATTAGCTGCATGCAAACACAACTACGTGTGTATGCACATAACCCATGTACACCTGAACTTAAAATAAGTCCCAGAAAAAAAGTGATGGGAGGAGGTTCTCCCATGATTTAGCTCCCAATATTTAAATAGTTAGAGCATTCATCCCTCAAGCTAAATACCTTGGTTCTGACTCCCCTTCATCTAGAGGGAATTAGAACCTGAACATCTCTGGCTTTTCAGGACAAAGCTTCAACCACAATGGCACAAGTCACATATTATTCAGAACTCTCTCTAGTGCTCTTTGTATTGGGTAAAACAGCTAAAAGCAGGTTAGTGTGGAAGTTTATGCTCCAATGGGAGAAAACTCAAACCTTTCCAGGCTTGAACCCATGCCAGTGCGGCAGCCATCTAATTGAGCCACATATCCTTTACCTTGCACTTTCTCCTGGTCCCACATACCTCCCTCTCTTGGCCGCCCAGGGGAACAGTTTCAAAAGAAGGACTGGAGAGCATTCAAGCTTTTGCCTGATGTGTGGCCTAGCACATAGTATGCTACTTTACAAAACCAGGGAAATGCAGGTTCAAATCCCCCTCTGGATAAGAAAGGAGCTTAATCTTAGGCTCTGGCTTCTTGGGTGAGTGCTGTAACCATTCAATTATTTAGACTAAAACACTGGAGGCAACTTGTCTTCCTTCCTTCACAGTCATAGATTCATTGTCTCCTGCATCACTAATAAGATGCAGGTACATATGCACGAGGGTTACACATGCATAACTTACCATGCACTCTTGATGTATATGTCCATGATACAGGAGAAACAGAATTTCTGTCCGTCTGTGTGTGACATTTATATAACTTAAATGCTACCACTCAGAAATCCATGGATTAATAGAATTCATCCTTAATCTCTTAAGCTTAATGACAGAAGCCATGGATGTGGTGTACAGCTAAAAATTCAGCCTCAGTTCCTCTGAAGCCAATGAGAGAATTGCCATTATCATTCAGTGACAATGGATTCTGGCCCCACTCTCTTCCATAACTGTACCTGCTGCTTGAACTACCTTCTTGGGACTTAAATGCACATTCAAACTGCCTATGTTTAAACAGGCTATGTACTGCCACACTTATTATTAAAGGTTCTCAAAATGCTTAACCCTCACTACAGCCTTTTTGCAGCCCTTTTTGCAGGCATTAGTAACCTGATTTTACACATAATGTGAACAGAGGTATGCTGGTTGCAACAAAACCAAAAACGTACTGTAACTCAGTAGCAGAGATTGGACTAGAACCTTCAAGTCCTAACGACCTACCACCCAGCCAACCCTCCTCGTCCTGTTGTAACCATTCCAAATGAATGTCTCTCAACATTCATGTATATGGAACATGGTTACTATATGTGGGGCAGATGAATTTTATCCTTGTAAATAGCTCCATCTACAATAATATTATCGTTGTGCAAGAGGCATTAATTTATTCTCAGGCTCCTACAGCCAAACACAATTTGAAAGCCTGCTGTACTATTTCAAAATATACTTTTTAAATGTTACGCCTAAATTTAATTTGTCAGTGAGGAGTGGTACTAATGACAGTAGCATTGTTTTCTTGTTTATATCTGATGGATTTGTAAGACTAATACCTTTGACATTGGCTTGCCAGAGGTACATGGTGCCAGCTTCCAAGGTATACCAAATATTATGTGAATTCCACAAGTGCAATTTTAGCCTCAATATCTTTATCCTGATGCAAGTTAGTCTGGTATGCTTTCTATGAAAGGTCTCTAGCCTAGAAGGGGGTAGGTCTGAATGTGCAGCACTAAACCACAGGAAACGCTAATCAAACACTTCTCTCAATCCCTTGTGAAATGTTACTTCATTGAGAGAGTAGGGTAGAAACTGAGCTGCTTTTACAGCTTCAGAACCCGAGCTTCTAAGAAAAGGCCTCCCCCAAAACAAACAAACAAACAGCCCAAGGGAAGGTACAATACTGGGGTTGCTTTTTTGAAATCTTTCATTTCTTCTTTGACTTCCTGTGAGAGCTGTTAAGACATGTCAGTCAAATTGACAATAGGCTGAAATAAAAAAAAAGAGAGAGGGGGGAGAGAGGGGCAACCAAAGAAAATGAATCAGTGAGAAGGTGCTATGAAAACAGCCGGCAGGTCAGACGAGTGTGATCAAAGGTTTACTGATGCTGCGTGAAAAAAAATCATTAAGAAAGGCCAGAACAAGACAGTCAATTTCAACCAGAACCACAAATAAAACACATTCAAAGCGGTGCCATGAGGGTAGCCCCTCTGATACAGCCAGACAAATAAAGAAAAAAGCCGATGACAGTAGGAACAACACCACCACTAAACCAACAAAGGAAAACAGTGATGTGAAGGAAAAAGGCACTTCTTACCCAGTTCAGTTATCATTAGAATGTGGGTTCCACTGTTTTTTTCCTGACTGATTGAAACCAAAGGCAGAAGTTTGCCAGGCTTAGCTAATGAGTAAAGTAGTTAGGGGGAAAAAGAAAGTACAGAAGAGAATAAAGTAAGGGAAAAAAGACAGGTAAGGCTCCAAGAACACAAAACTGAAACATAAAAGGACAAAGGACCACAAATCAAGTTGGCATCTGCCATGAACAACAGAACAGTTTCTGCACTTCATGTCACAGCACTCAACAACATAAATATCCACAGGGAAAGCAGCAATTGAATCCCAGTTATGGTCATCCCATTGTCAAGGATACTGGGTTTACTATTATATAAACCTTGATTACACCAAATTAAGTGGCTTTAGAATGTGAAGAGTAGCCTCTTACCATTGCATAAAGGCAGTGGAAGTCTGCTTGTATCTTATGCAACTTTTTAAAAGATTGCCTAAGAGCAATAGATCAAAACCAGCATCTTGTTTGACATACTGCATGTTCAAGAAAATGCAAAGTGAAAACCCATAGGAAAGACCTACATAAAGATCAGCTATTCATCAGAAACAAGTGTCCCCTAATATTTCCTGGGCAAGAATCATTCAAAACAATTAACTGGAGGTGTCATAGGCTATAGAACAGGTAACTCTCCCAAGTCTTGCCTGAAAGTGAAGGGGAAAATATACAGGAAAACACATTAAAGGTATGTCTTTGTTTTGCTTACCTAGCTCTGTTATAATAGGGATGTTGATTCCTGTTGTGATGGAGGGCTGACGTAACAGGCCATGGACTGGACTATTGTCTGGAGATGACCTATCCATCCCTGGTGGTGTAAACCCTATGGGAGACATGTTACAAAGAAATTATAAGGTAACAAACTGCAAGACAAGAAAAAGAACGAGTCCTTTCAGACTGACCCAAGTGACAGAAACAAGTATTGCAGGAATTTTGTATTAGAATGTAATCATCAGAATAATAACAGTAGAAATAATCCAGAAAATATTTGACAGCACTTTCATCATACCTTCCTATAAATATGGATGCTCAAATCGATCACTGTTACATATTGTTAATGCTATAACCAGTTAATTTACTATGCTTGACTCATGAAAGAGCAGATTTTGTCTTGAGACCACTAAAGCTTGCAGTGCAAAATGTGTACATTGAAAATCACATCCAAAGTCATTTTATTTTGAGGATTTTGTTTTCTTATGCATATTTTAAAGACCCCTAACTTTAAGCATCTTTCTGAAGTCTCAACCAACATTTCAAGGCTTTAAAAAATCATTATGGAACAGTTTTAGTAGTTTGTGGATCTACTTACTAATATTTAGCATTGACCTAAACACAGTGCTGGGAGACATAATCACATTTTATAAATAGTTCCCAAAAATAGGGTTGGGTATTTGACTGGTCAAATAAAGTTTGGTCAATTCACTGGTAAAACATTGATCGAAAATTGTAAAAAAATGCCAATACGTCCAAATAATACACAGAAAAAGCACAAATGTTCCATTAAGAAATGGGTCAAACAACAATGAAAATCATAGTAGTTTTTTTGTAAAATTGCTATAATCTTTAGTCAAAAAAAAACACGCAGTCAATTGATTGCCTTGACAACTCTATCAAAAACATTATGAACTGCAGTGAGTACTCAGTTTCCACTCAAACATTTCAGAACCAGCACAGTCCTTGAGAGAGCCGGCATCCTGAAAATAACAGGATTTAATGAACCACTAGTTTAAATTCAGTGAAGTGGGGTAGAGAGAGATAGAGGGATACTTCCATACAACAGGATGTTGGGGCATGATATGGACAAAATGCAGATTGGGAGAAGAACCACCTCCTGGGAAACTGGAGAGATCATCTTGCACACACAAGTTCCATCTTTATGCTATGTGCATGGTTCCATCCAAGTTCCTACTGGAAAATCCCACCAGTGAGTAATTTTTAACCTTACCATTTTTATCAGAAATTTCTCAGGCAAAGTATTTTCTTAGGATGGAGTCAGAGCTTAAGGAAGAAATCATTCAATTACTGATTTATACAAAAACTCAACCTACAGTTGGCCTGGTACTTCTTAATAAAGATTTATATCCCATAACCCCCCCACCTGCACACAAAAATAGTAGGAAGGATTGGAATGTCCCTTTTACATCATCCTGAAAGAAGTGGAAATGAAACACAAAGTTGGTGTGAGGGCTTCACTTTCCCCATGCTGCAGCTGTTTTTTTCTTTACGCAAGAACTTGTCCACTAAAAATAGGAATGATGCCAAACTAATTACATTATCAGTTGCTGAGTGGCCATTACATACTAGGCCAAATTCTTGCCAAATTCTTGGACCTCACATCTGAGAAAAGAAGACAGATTTCAATCGTTTGTCATTACGCACCTGACCTAGGTTTGACTCCTCCATATGTTACCTTTGAGATGTGTGGAGTTAAAGATATTCTACTGACTTCTCACAGCATGAAAACTGGCCCAGTGGGCTAATTCATTTATACGTGCATCTGCTATCAGTTCTTAAATGAGCTGATACAATAGTATCCACTACTCTGTCTTCAATTTGGATGATACCAATTAAACTAAACGATAAAAGAAATCCCTATATGATTTTTTTATAACACTTTGTAATCTGATGTCAGTTCCTTACCTAGATTTCCACTCCCCATCACTTTCTTCATAGTAGTAATTACCACTTAGAAATTTGGATTAAAATAAAATGAAATATAAAAGGCATTAATTCTGGACCCCCCGCCCCCATTTCCATCCTGCTGTTTATTGGCAATACGATTTGATTTTTTTAAATCTCATATCGAGTGTTTTGTGCCCAAACTTGTAAAGTCCTGGCTTTAGATGGCAGTGGATCATAACCTACCTGGAGCATTTGCCTAAGATTGTATAGTACCACTCATAACATCCTTTAGACTGATCTAATAGATTTAGAAAAGCAGCTAAGAATTGTGGGATATTGTAGAAATGTACATGGAATAACAATAAACAATCATCTAAGATGAAGATGCAAATCTATGAGACTTCTGCACTATAATTCTTGCTTTATGGTTCAGAAATATGGACTACATATGCCAGGCACATCAGGAGACTGAACAGTTTCCACATGAGATGCGTGCACAAGATCCTGAAAATAAAGTTGGAAGACAAAATGCCAAACACAGAGGTGCTGGATCACGTAGGACTGACACACTTAGAAACCTAGACCTTTTATGTGTACATCAAGATCTACAAGATTGATGGAAGCCAATATATATATTGAACAAAGAGGATGTCTCTGTCCAACCGCTACACAGGCCTTTGTCTAGCCTATATAATCTTCCAGAGACTATACCTTGAACTCTCCCTTCACATTTTTGAGAACGTTTGTAACTGCTTGAAGCCTGTGAGAGCTTGAAGTCAATGGAAAGGAAAAAGATAGGGATTTGGTGTGTGATGTCTATGAACCTATTTGAACACAGAGTTCTTGGGAGCAGGTGCAAGGGCATTACTTAGCATTTATTGGAATCCATTCTCCCAAGCTAACATGGAAAAAGTGGATTGAACACCCAGAGGCATAACAGGGTGTTTCCATCCCTAGGGTAGCTGAGAGACACCAAGAAGAGCATGTAGTGATTACAGTGGCACAATCAGTCATGAGTGTGGTTGCAGCTATTTTTATGCTCTCTCCTCTGCCCGTCGTCAGTCAGTTACAGACATCCTGTAGGCACTTACCTTATCATCACCACAACCAAGGCAAAAGTGCAAGTAACATTTATCAGGCAAGGCAGAGACAAAACTAGCAAGGCTTATTATGAGAGACCTGAGACCTAACCACTTGCACAGGCTATTAATAGATGATACAGATAATTAATTAACCTTTTGTATGCTGTACATGTAGAAGAATTATAATCAGTGAACTATTAACCTCCTGTAGTTTATGCTATGGACTTACAATAACTTACGTTACTGTAAAGCATTAGCAAGGAGGTGCCAAACTAGACTGTGAAGTCAATAAGAGGTCCTTATGTGCACCTTTCCCAAACCAATGGATAACTGGCTCAAAATGATTTCCCAGAGTCTCAAAAAAACCAAACAAACCCAAGACCAAAATATTAAACTGTCCAATTAGCAGAAAAAGCCTACAATGGCAAAGGTGTCATAGATTATGTGAGCAAGGAAAGGAAATCTCCTAAGCATGAAAATTGGATTTGATAACAATTAGGACCAAGGGAATGTGAATACTAAGTTCTGAAGTCATGCACTAATTCAGCCCCTTGTCATATCTGGGAGGAAAGGGGGGTTATGTACAACATTTGGGGATTTTAAATGTAATACTAATGATTTCAGAACGTGGATTCACAAACTTTGATTCCCACCCGTTTTATCAGTCTTAAGCATGGACCCTTGGATTCAAGCTGTACCAGCAATTTTTTAGAAAGCCACTTCCTCCCCCCACCAACTTTGAAAACAGTTGGCTGATTTCTTATAGGAGAAGAGTCTTGGCTAACAAGGGGCTTTGGGCTTGCTTGATCCAGATGTCAAAGGGGCAGGAATGTTATTTCTGGAGAAGCAGCAGCTGAAGTAGGACTGTTCTTTATATTTGGAAGTTACATGCTATCACATATAATATGCTGGAGAGCACATTGTGATAACACCAGATCTTGTGACACAACATCCAAACACAAGCAGTGTGAGAAAGCAATAGGATAGCATATGTGGTAAGTCCTTCTTTTTGCATATTCTTGTAAAAAGGTATTTAGCAGACATGCCAGAATCTGACAAAGCCACACCACAGGTGCTTCTGCTGTGGCCTCAAACTTACAACCTCTGGCCTGTCCACTATACACTTTAGCACCCACACCACTCCAGCCTCCTGACTAGCTTAGTGTTAAGTCAAACATTAAGATAGCCAGGTCCTCTATACAGAGAATTAAAGTGCCAGGTGCAAGTCTTACAGAGCCTGCAACTTATCTGAGGATAGTGAAAACTACCCTGGTTCCACAGTACTTGAAGAATAGTAATGACACCATGTACCACTGCTGTTCAGACTATCCTCAGAGGCCTTGCTTCATTCTTTTCTCCAGAATCATCTCTACCCGTTGTGACACTGCCTTCACTTTGCCTACTGTCCTGATGGCTACAAGCAAAATGTGTGACTCAGTGGCTAGGGACAGAAATGACACATTACAACCAGTGTAAGTGATCAGAAACTGGTTCAAATCTAGAACACAACAGAAGTTTGGTGTACATAAACTGCTTTCAAAATGGCCAAAGCCAGTTTAACATAAACCTGGATGGATGTAGTATTAGACTTAATTGATTGAGGTTAGAATGGTTTATCAAACATCTGCCCCAGATCCCGTTCAAGTTAACTCAAAGTCTTCCGGGATGTTTTACACCTCCCTGGTAACCAACCGCTTGCAGGGTGGGCAGGCCCAAGCAGGAAGGCATGCTCTAGTGCTCCCCAGCTTGTGGCCTGGGCCACTGCAGGCATGTAGTTCAATTTCTGGAATCAAAAGTGGATGTCTATTCATTTGCTTATTGGCTCAACCTGTGCAGCTTAGACTAACTTGCAAAGATTAAATTGATTTGGCCTCAGGCTTTTTGAGTGTTTATACTTAGCCAGTGTGACATGCCTCTCAATTCTATACTTCCCCTCTGTTCAATCTGCAAGGCTATTTGTAGCCACCTCTAATTCTTCACATAGTTGTCTTCCTTGCATGGTATTAAAGGATTGAAGTAAATGTGGTATTTCTGTTAGATGCAGACTATCAGGAGCTCTGTAATTGCTGGATACATGCATAGTGCATTCTGTATGAAAGGTGGAGAGCATATTAAAGAT